CCCCAAAGCACTCGCTAATTGAAAAGAATTAAAGCAGCGACTGGTGATTCAGTTTAACTGAAAATCTCTTGTTTTTATTTTAGAAAGAAAGAAAATCTTAAGTACTTTTTCCTTGTTTACTAAATGGCGTTGTTACATTACTTTGTGAAACCGTAACAGAAGCGATAATCTAAATCTCTGTGATTTTTAAATTTTTAATGCAATGTTTTGGAAAAGCTTTATATTAATTTCTCTAGCTTGTGTAAAGCGTAACTTCACTAAAAAAATTTATTTCATACACAGTTGTAAAATAAAAACCATAATTGAAATGAAAATTAAAAAAACTATTATTGAAGCAGACTAATAATAAAATAAAACTAAATCTCATGTTCTATAAAAAATAATAATGATGATTATAATAATAATGTTTTTCTAGAAACTTTGGTGCTTGTTCAATGAGAATGCTTTATTGAACTTTAAATTATTTAATTAATAAATTAAGCAGTTAAACAGTTCAGTACTATCAATTAAAATGTTTGATAAGTTTTAATTGTCACTTAAACCTTTGAAAAATCAAATTTTGAACGTTAAGAAAGATCTTATTCGAATTTAAGAATTATCTAAACATTGTAATATCAACTTAAACTGTTTACGAAGTTTTAATTGCAACTAAAATTTTGTAAGCAATCAAATTTCGAGCGTTTGGAAAGATCTTTCCTGAATTTAAACATTATAATATCAATTTAAACTGTTTGCCAAGTTTTAATTGTTAATTAAACTTTTGAAAGCAATCCCATTATATACGTTTAGAAAGAATTTTCCTCAATTTATTATATCAATTTATTATGAATTATTATATCATTTTAAACTGTTTCGTAATTTTTAATTGTCAATTGAGCTTACGTAAGAAATCCAATTTTGTACGTTTAGAAAGAACTTAACTTAATTTAATAACTATCTAAACATTATAATATCAATTTAAACTATTTGCTGAATTTTAATAGTCAATTAAACTTTTGTTAGAAATCAAATTTTTAACGTTTAGAAGGATCTTTCCCCAATTTAATAATTATCTAAGCATTAAATCATAAATTTAAACTATTTGCTAACTTTTAATTCCCAATTAAACTGTTTAAATAAATTAAATTTTAAACTTTGAGATGGATGCTTTCAGAATTTAATAAGTTTGTTTAATCAATTTCCTTAAATTAGTTCTAGAAAAATATTTCAAATATATAAAACCTAAAACTCATTTTTTTAAATATTACTGAACATTTCATTTTCATTTTTAAAATAAAAACTTTGAACTAACTCAAGGAACTATTTCTATGAACTATTTTCACTTGTAAGTTTTACTGAAAGAAAATATTTTCTCCAAAATTCTTAATTTTTAACTATTTTTAAATCCCCTTGCATTCCTTTATATCAAACTTAAATGAAACTACATAATTACCTACATTTCTATAAATTTTATTAAGGAGAATATTTTGTGACTTCTAATACCAAAATCTAAATCTAATACGCAATCTAAGCAGCAAAAAAAAAAAAATTGGGCATTAGAAGTCCTTTTTAAATTTTGTTTGTTTAGAAAAACGAAATATTGTATCATTATCAGATAAAGGTTAAGAACGTGTTTGAGCAAAGACGTCAGTTACATGTAGTGCAGGTTGATTAATTCTCACGATATTTTAATCATCAAGATATTTTATTAAATTCACACGAAAAAAACTCACTTAGCTGCTATTACAACGTTTTCTTGAGATTCGTTCGTATATTTAGGCTGAGCAATTCGTAAGTTTTTTTTTCTGTGATTTTAAATTTGAACTTTATTTATAATACTTTATTAAGGTGTGATGTCTCTCTAGAAATTTTAAAAAAAGTTCAAATAAAACTGTCCCAAATAATTTTTTAATTTTTTCCATAATGTTTTATTGAGTTGTAATGCCTTACTAGAAATAAAATGAACTATTACAACGTTTTCTAAGACTCTCGTATTTTTAGGCTTAGTTATAAGCAATTTTGTTTTTTTACTGTGATTTTAAATTTAAATTTGATCTATAATGCTTTTAAGCTTATATTTTTACTGTGATTTTAAATTTGAGCTTGATCTATAATATTTTATTGAGGTGTGACGCCTCATTCGAAAAATTTTAATTTCAAACAAGTTGAGATAAAATTATTCCAAACAATTTTTAAAATCGTTCTATTATATTTTACTGAGTAGTAATGCCTATCTACCACTGCAGAAATTTCAAAAAAGTTCAAATAAAATTATCCGAAACAATTTTAAACTTGTTCTGTAATATTTTATTGAGTAAAAATACCTCTCTGCCTATCTAAAAATTTCAAAAAAGTTCATATAAAACTACGCGAAATTATTTTTAAGGACTAAAAAAGGGGCGTAAAAATATTATGTAAGCATCTTAAGAGAGTTTGCCGTTTGATTTTTATGCTGACTGGGGATATACTTACGTACGACGCTAAAATTTCTCTTTTTTTGCAAAATTTTTAGAGAGATAGGAGAAAAATATGACGAAAAACAAGGAAAATTTCAAAGTTGAAATAAATTATTAATAATGATTTTGAATTTCGGAAAAGAAAAAATTAGAAAAAAATTTATTCAAGCATTTTACAGGAGATCTAGAGTTTTGACCACAGAAGGAAAACCCAATTATTCTTCAAGAATATTCTACTAAAAACTTTATAAATGAAAACATAAATTTTTTGTGTAAATTTACAACTTCCATTTGAATTTTATCCTAAAATTAGATTACAACAGTAAAATCGAAGTTGAAAAAAAGCATGAGGTTGTTGCGACATTTTTTACGCAAGTGTGGGACGGGGTCTAGAATTTGCTTTTCTTTTTTTTTTCTTTTTTGCTGACATACAATAAAAAGGGGTCAAAAAATATTCAAAAACATGCTAATCTAATAATTGAACTGCCTCAAAAAGAAGGAAATTCATCATATGCTTTATTTGTTCTACCAAATCTCTTTTTGATTCTCGAAATATTGACGAATTATTTAACGATACCTTAAATATTTCCAGGGACTTAGTTCACATGAAGCTTAAACTCATTTTTACAAAGTCTAATTTTTTATTCAATAAAAGTGCGCTTAAATCATTATTTCAAAAAAAAATTTCCGTACATAAACTGTTTTTTCTGTTTTTAAGACCAGGCAATTCCTTTGATCAAGTTAGTATGCATCGTCTAAATTTATAGTTTCGTTTCGAATTAAAATCTCTCAAACTATGACTATTTATCAAAAAGCTTCGAAGAAGCTTTTTAATCACATTCACATACTTTAAAACAACTAACTAAGCTATTTTTTCTGCTTTAAAGAGCAGACAATTATTTTGAGCAAGATGGTATGTATCGTTTAAAATAAGTTTTGTTTCGTTTTAAAATCTCTCAAACTGTGACTATTTAGCAAAAAGCTTCGAAGAACCTTTTTAATCACATTTACATACTCTAAAAAATGGCTAATTTTTTCTTTAAAAAAATTCCATTTATTCAGTAACAGCTATCGGATACTGAAGACAAATGGAGTTGAGATAAATTTAAATTGAAGTTTTTTAATTTAAATTCTTCAATATATTTACCACCATCTTCGGTAGTAGAATTTAGTACTTGGAAGAAATTGTTTTGTTGATTTAGAAGGGGTAAAAACCTGTTTCTACTCTTACATTTTTTTCAACATCAATTTAGTACTTAATAAAACTGACAGACGATAAATCTAGAAACCACATTTTCTATCTCTTAAAGAAATTTATAACCTTTCTCTCACAGTATGATACAAAATATGTAGTAAAAATGGTGGTGGCTAAAGGCTAAGTGAATTTTCGTGAAGCTATTTTCAGATTAATTATTCAGTAGCCATTAATTAGCAACTCTAGGAGCTTTTATCGCAACAGGATCCCCATTATTACTCATCTTATGATAATAATAAGAAAGTTATTAATTAATTCTTAAAAAGATTAAAAAAAGAAATTGAATTTGTTCGTGAAAAAGATAATGCTATAATAATACATTTTGGTAGTATTTTTTTTAATCCATTCATCTTTAAAACTGGCATATCTTATTTGCGATTATTACTTGAGGATTATTTTATTAATAAACTTTGTATAATAACAATATATCAAAAATAATATTTTTTTTGTATTTTTTAAAAAAATACGTATTATTTTCGGAACAATTGAAAAAAATGTACCCCAATTATTAAATTCATTAAAATTATTTTGAAAAAAATAGAAAAACATTATTTATCTACTGCGTAATATTAAATTACATAATCAAATCTGTTCGTAAAAATATAAAATAATAATAATACCATCTTTGGGTTTCTTAAAACAGCGTTATGTATTTTAAAAATCAGTAAATTAAACTGTTTTTATAAAAAACAGAATAGGAAAAATTATTTATTGCGATCCATAATACTACGTAGAATCTATATAATTAATCTAGTATAGATCGATTATTAAATAAAAAGGAAATCCAAAACACTATAGATCATACCTGCATTGCAGTTAAAATTGCGTTTGCATTTTATGCATAATCACTTTAAATTTTAAACTTTTAAACAATTCCAATATATTTTTCATAAGAATGAAAAATTATGTTTAAGGAAAAGAAAAGAAAACGCTATCAAAATTCTTCGAAACACTAGTGGGGAAGGCGTAATAAAAATATCAAAACTAAATTAGTTATCGGGAAAATCTTGAGGTGTTTCTAATATTTGCTTTTCACTTCGTCGTTTATTTCAGTATTCAAACAGGTTTTAATGTTTTTAGTTCTGCCTTACTCAATAGTGGATATAAAGATACTAGCAGAAATTGTGTGTGTGTTTTGTTTTCCTCGCTTAAATATTAATTAGTGCATCCTAGAATGAATATGTATATTTCGTTATTGACAAGGATTCAAAAGTTATGCCTAGATCAAGAACAATTATTATGAAATAAAAATAGTTCTTTATATATAATCTATTAAATAATATCTCATTTATTATGATTTTTCTTTGCAGATATATAGAATGAGACTCCCTATTCTTCTGCTGCTTTCATTAGCAGTGCTTACAGTTAAAGCAAGGCATAGAAAAGGTAAGAGTCAGCTTTTTACCAATGGTAAATTTTCATTAAAGCATACAAAACTGAAATTAAAAAACACATATCATTAAAGGTTATACTGTCTATACTTAAAAATGATTTTAAAAATTTAATTTTTTTTTTTTTTTTGCTAAGAACAAGAGCAAAATTCCTCAACGTTGAACACTTGTGAAACCAGTATGAATTCATAATCACAATACACATTTGAATCATTTATTTTCAATACTTCTTCTCATGGCATGACAGCCCTTTGTGGGCCAGAGCCTTCCCTCTATTTTGTTCCTTTCTTTACGATTGTTCTCTGGTTAGTAATTCTTAGGATTTTAAAATCCTCTTGCACACTATCAAGCCATCTGATCTTAGGCCTACCTCTAACTCTAGTTCCCATCGGTTTGTAATTGAAGATCTTAAATGTCAAGGAAGAAAGGTACCGAAAGCTTTAAGCTACTTGTTTTGATGTATTTGTTGATATCAGCTTCCTTGAATAGCCTGTATAGTTTAAAATTATGTCGTTGTCTCCATAAGAAATCCACATTTATACCACCGAAAAAATTTTTCTCTATGCCTTTCTCTCAAAAGCAGCAAGCAGGTCTGTTAATGATTTAGTCAAAGACCATGTTTCGGATCCAAAAGTTAAGACAAGTCAAATGATTGTTTTAAATAACATTATTTTTGTTTGCCTTATAATTAATTCTGACTTTAGATATGTTTTTTACCCTTTAAGACCTCGTGCAATTTAAAAGTACTTATTTTATTTTCTGTATAAATAGCTCAAAACGAAAAAAGTGCTTGAAAAGAAAATCATATTTTTAAAATATAATTTCTCAGGAACTATTCGACCGATTTTGCTGAATTTTGTATTCTGCTATATTATTAAGTTGTTTTTTTTTGTATTATTTATCTGAAAGCTTCATTTTGTATAACTGTCAAGTTAAATAAAAATACATCAAAATTTTTCTGTTGCTAATATAAATTGCATTTTAACTTCTCTTTTCTGTCCAGCTTGTAGCTCGGTTTGCTTCATGTCTTCGTTGCCAACGCGAGAAGAAATTACGTCGGTTTTCTAACCATCATTATTCGTTTATCATCATTTTGTTATTCATAAATGTTTGACTGCAGATTAGCGAAGATGCCATTTTAGAGTTTTTGAAAAAAAATTGTACCTAAACCTCCTGGGGATTTTTTAAATTCTGCAATCAGGTTTGGATTCACAATCCAGTGAAAAATTATTTTGAAAAGTTATTAGTTCTGATAAGGAAGTTATTTTTAATGCTCAGAGTTACTAAAAGATATACACTTAGGATTGCGAGTATATATATCAAAGTGAACTATCCCCATGAAAAATATTTTAATGCAAATATTTTGTTTACAACAACAACAAAAAAAACGATTTCCAATTTCTATACAGAGAAATTCAGTACTGTGGTTATATACTTGCGCGTTTTTAAACCATACTTTATTTTTATGACAATTATCTTAATTTTACGTCTATTTCACTTTTTCTAAAAATTATTTTTTTATCTATTTATTTTTTATTTTCTTACAACCGTCGTTGAACAGCCGCGACCCAATCTTTGGGTTTACGACTACTAATGTTCAACTCCGTAGCCTTGTGATTTTGAATCCAATCCAGAAGGCAAGGCAATTCCTGAATCAGTACTCCCAGTGGTATGATTTTCTATGGGAACATGGAGGAATTTGTGCCTCTACAGATTTAACGTGCATCAGTCACCATTTACTACACGGGGAATCTTCGGCCGGAGAGGATCGAATCCACGACCTCTTGGACACGGGCCCAGTGCCCTGCAAACCAGGCTATCCCGACCCTTTCTTATAATTATTGTCAAAAATTGCACTCAAATAGAAACAGGTTTAGTCGTTTTATCGTAGTTTGAAGAATAACCCACTGGGCTCACCAATTTGTTCGCCAATTTAGTAAAGTACGCTAAAGCAATTTTTCTGGCCCTTTGATGGCAAGTTTTGAAAATATTTATTAGAAATCATTCAAAGGAATAAAAATTATTAGAAACATTACGGCAATATATATAAAAAAACACTGTTTCAAATTGACACAAATGGCTTTCTACAAGCCCCACCATGGCATACAATATTTCCGGCCATAGATTGCCATTCAGTTCTTGTTCTTTAAGATGTGACCTAACTACCGTCCAAGTTCGTAACTTCTTTATTCTCTACTGTAATGTAAAATTTAGTATAGTTGTATAACTTATGACCATCTTTACATTCTCTTCCTCATTTATGCTAGCTTGCTTTGTCATATTTTTTTTTAATCTCTGTCTCATCACTGCTGCTGCACATGACTCTCAATAACAAAACCAGTTTTACTAAGAAACACAGCTTACTCAAAATACAGCTCATTTAAGTGAGGGTTCAAAATTTTGTTTAAATGTCTCTTTAAACACACTGAAAAAAGATGGATGCTAATGTAGAAATGTAGACATTGAACACACATAACTCTGTTACTGAACAACTCTACTTTAAAAATGCTAATTTAAAATTGCTGCAAAATTTATAAAAACATTTAAAAATAGATGAATGGTAAAAACAATGTTGAATTCAGAATTAACGCTTGTTGAATTACAACAACTAGTAAGGAAAGTGATGGTTCCAGTTTTCATTCTAACTGCAGAAATCCGATTTGCGAATCAAGACTGTTGACAGCCCATCCAGCACATTCCGCATTCTTCCGCATACCGCTGTATTAATCCACGTCTTCCAGGGTTTCATAGCACCAGCGAGGCATCACCCAGCGCCTCTGGTATTTCACAGCTTAGCAGTGCGAGCGTCATTCAACGCTTTATTTATGTTTTGCAAAGGGGCCGCGACACAAAAATGTTGATAAATTTTTTTTTAACGGTTTTCTGTGAAATGCTAAATGGGACATTAATAAACTTGTTTGACGATACTCATTTCGTCAAACGCATTACTCTCATTGCTACCTACCAATTACGCAATTGATTAGGAAATACGAAGTAAAAAATGAATATGAGTAATCTGTCATCTTCCGGAATTGTAACCGGTAAACCTACTTGACAAGCAGAAACCCTAACGCCATTATCCGGTTGCACAAACTGAACAGTTTTAAACAAAAATAAGTGAAAAGTTATAGAATTCTCTAAATGCCCTTAAATGACACACGAAAAACGAAACAATTTCCTCAAATATTTGAAGTTTCTCCTTTCGTCCGAAATCAAGGCATTTCGTGACGAACTTATTTTCAAAAATACTTAAGTACAGCTCAGAGATTCGCTGAATCGTCAAAAATGAGTTTCTTTCTGAGAGTGCAATCACAATTAAATTCACGTCACTCATTTGTAATTCAGTACCCTATTGTACTTTTTTATGTGTGTAAACAATAAATTAAATTTAGTATTTTTTATTTTTTTTTAGAATGGAAACTAGTTAATACGATGAAAGCAAGTAGAGAAATACAGTTATCTCATTACAATATAGAAGCTTCAGTGTGTGTGAGAGGTCCAGGCTTTTACCGTGATCCTAAAGACTGCCATCAATATATACGCTGCGTTGACGAATATAGCACAGGCCGTCGAATGAGTGCGTTTATTGGGAGATGTGATCCCGGCCTAGTCTTTGACCAAAATGTATCATCATGCAACTGGCCTGAACTTGCCGCTCCCTGCAGCGATTCCCCTGAAAAATTCCGTGAACCCCCCAGCAAGATCCATTCACAACAAGAATCTCAAAATACTGACATTTCTCAAAAGCCAGACAGAGTAGATAAGCCCTCTCTTGATTCACAGCCATCACAACAGCAAGTCCATGAATCACCTCAGACACAAACACAGCAGCAACATCATGAATTTTCTCAAGATCAACAACAAGTACAAATCCATGAAAACCAAAACCCAGAACGACAACAGCATACCCAGCAGACTGAGGAACACCCAAATAGACAAGAAGAAATTGAAATCCATAATGTACCTATTGCTCAAACACGATATGAAATCATCCCGCATACCGGGTTTCAAGAATATGATGCGACACAAAAACAAATATCTTCTAGTGGTTTCAAGGAAATAATGGATGATCAAGTTGAAGATATCCCATCATCACAAAACCAAGATCAAAACCATCAACAAGAACAAGAATGGTGGATTCCAGAAACGGAAAGTACCCCACGCAGAGAAGCAATTATAATTAGCCCTCCTCAAAGTGACTTCGTGGAAGTTACTGCTACGTTAGATGATCCCATCATTTGCCAAGGTCCTGGATTTTTTAGACACCCAACGAATTGCAGTCGTTTTGTCAAATGCATTGAAGAAAATGGGGCTTATTCCATTCATTTCTTCGAATGTAACAGAAATCTATTGTTCGATGATGGAGAGAGTTATTGCACCCGATCTTCTCTGACTAACTGCAACCCAAAAAGAAGCAAAAGACAAGCAGAAAGTGCGCCTCTTGAATGCAGAGGCGAAGGATTTTTTAGACATCCTGTGGATTGCAAATCTTTCTATCGATGTGTTGTAGGAGCAACTGGTCAATACGAAACACATATGTTTTCGTGTCCAGAAACTCTGGTCTTTGATGAAGAGTATGCTACGTGTAATTGGCCTGATAAGGCTCCACCTTGCCAGACTCAAACATGGTCGGGATATCAGCCACGCCGAACTGTGCCTCCACCAAAATCAGCTTACAAACCTATTCGAAAAGCGACTACAGCTAGCTATTGGACAACATTGAAACCAAGAGGTGACGTTGTGGAAAATTCTCCTTTAGTTCCAGTCAGAGGAATCTCAAAGTCCACGAAAGCTCCGACTAGAGGTGAGCAATTATGCAGCTCACCTGGCTTTTTCAGACACGAGAGAGATTGCACAAAATTTTACAAATGTGTCCGAAAACGCAACTCTTTCATCAGATATGAAATAAGTTGTCCAAACAGTCTTGCTTTTGATGCTGCTGGATCTCGCTGCGTCCCTCAAAAATTTGTAAGTGAATGCAATAAAAAGAGGCGGCCATCACCACCCCGCCAAGATGATGAAGGCACTTCACCAGTAACAGAAGCAACTCGTACTACAGGAGGATCTGCCATTGTGACAGAGTCATCTGATAGTGACTCTTCAAAATGTCAAGATGAAGGATACTTTCGAAATCCGAGTGACTGCAATCGTTTTTACCGGTGCGTAGATTTTAGTGGAGAAAAGCAAGAATTTGTACGTTATGACTTCAAGTGTCCTGATGGACTCGTATTCGATGAAACGAACAACGTCTGCAACTGGCCGGATCAAAGTGCTCCGTGTGAAGGAGGCAGCGAGGACAAAGATAATACAGAAAGCTCCAAGCCGTCAGAAAGCAGTACAGAAAAAGACGCAATATCAACGACAACGATGTCCCCATCTTCTTCTGGGCGAACTACTCAAAAGACAAGAACAACAACGACGAAACCAACTCAAGCTCCGAGTACAACGGAAGCAACAACTGAAAACCAGCCTTCAGAAGATTCATCAGACTCAGGTGATCAAAAACCTAAACCGGATGAAGGAGATTCCAAAGACGGGTGTGAAAAAGAAGGCTTCTTCCGAAATCCAGAAGACTGTAATAAATTTTATCGCTGCGTTGATTTCAGTGGAGATGGAGCAGAATTTGTTCGATATGACTTTTCTTGCCCAGATGGCCTTGTTTTTGACGAGGAAAACAGTGTTTGTAACTGGCCTGAAGACAGTGCTCCATGTGACTCAACAGGTGAAGATAAAGATAAAGACAAATCAGATGGGGAAGATACAAGCAGTTCAAAAGGAGGAAAAGACTCCACCACTGAATCATCAACCACTAGAACGACGACATCAGGAGGAAAAGGCACAACCTCATCTAGAACTGATGGTCCAAAAACATCTTCAGCAACAAGAAAACCTGGAAGGACTACCTCATCAAAACCTTCTTCCACACGATCACCTAGTAGAAGCACTCCATCCTCTAGCACTGAAGGTCCAGAAGACTCGTCTTCTACGACGCCTTCCTCTTCGTCATCAAGTGATGGAAGTGAAGATGAAAAGAAAAATCAAGGAATGTGTTCCGAAGCAGGATTTTTCAGAGATCCCAAAGACTGTAATAAGTTTTATAGATGCGTGGACTACAATGGAGATGGTAATGAGTTTGTCAAATATGACTTCTCGTGTCCTGATGGATTAGTGTTTGATGAAGAAAACAGTGTTTGTAACTGGCCAGAACAAAGTGCACCATGTGATGGTGGTTCCGGTAAAGAAAGTAGCACAAAGTCAGAGGATTCCTCAAGCCAAGCTACTTCTACTACCCAAAAAACAACATCTGCAGCAACAAAATCATCTGATACTACTGAAGAGTCATCTAGTGCAGCAACAGAAGCTTCAACATCAGACGGATCTGGTGATCAATCGACTTCTTCTGACAAAACAACAGATTCTTCGGATAAACGTAGCAGTACTACACCTTCTGATCAAACAGATGGTGAAAGTACGACAAAAGATTCATCATCCAAAAAGGGTGGTGGGAGCAGTGACGGGGAATGCACCGAAGCTGGCTTCTTCAGAAATCCGGAAGATTGCAATAAATTTTATCGTTGTGTAGATTTTAACGGTGATGGGCAAGAATTTGTGAAATATGACTTCACGTGTCCAGAAGGTTTAGTTTTTGATGAAACCAACAGCGTTTGCAATTGGCCCGAAGACAGTCCCCCCTGTGACTCAAGTGGAGGCAAGAAAGACGAAGGAAGCACTGAAAGTAATGAATCAAGCACTCAATCTTCTTCAACTTCTCAATCAGAATCGTCCACTTCTTCAACTTCAGAGTCATCCACCGAGCAAACCAGCCGAGGCACCACTGCAACATCTCAATCTACCTCTTCATCTGAGCAAACTACGTCAACAGCTAACGATAAAGAGGAATGTACCGAGTCAGGTTTCTTCAGGTGTAAAGATGATTGCAGTAAATTTTATAGATGTTTAGAAGATAACGGTGAATTAAAGCGTTATGATTTTAAATGTCCAGAAGGTTTGATATTTGATGATGATAACAAAAGGTGTGACTGGCCATCAGATGAGCTCACTTGCGAAAGTTCCTCAACTACTTCTTCTGATAAAACTACCGCATCCACAACGCAATCTGCCACTTCAACTACAAGACGAACATCAACAAGAAGAACAACACCAGTTCCAACTACTAAAGAAAGCACAACAACATCAAGCAGAACTACGACATCAGGAACCACTAGGCCAACAAGAACTACTAGACCATCACGAACAACTACTACATCCAGACCCACCACAGCTTCAGACAGAACAACTACACAATCAAGCTCTAGTACCACCAAATCTGATGAGTGCACTGAAGAAGGATTCTACCAGAACCCAGATGATTGTAGCAAGTATTATCGTTGTATTGACGAAGGGGATGGCAGATTTACAAGAGAAGATTTCTCTTGCGCTGATGATGAAGTATTTGATGAAGAAATGCGATTCTGCAACAGCAAGGACTTAGCCCCTCCTTGTGAAAAAACGACTACCGGTACTCAAATCACAACCTCACCATCAGGTACGTCGAGTGGAGGGATAGAAAGTTCGACTTCTTCAACAAACAGTGGCAGAACCACAACTAGCTCTTCTTCAACTGGATCGGAAAAAGGTACAACTTCTACCAGTTCATCAGAATGTACCGAAGAAGGGTTTACTAGAGATTCTGGCGATTGTATGAAGTTTTACCGATGTGTTGAAGAAAACGGTGAATTCATCAAGTATAATTTCACGTGTCCAGAAGGTTTAATATTTTACTTAAATAATGAAAGATGTGATTCACCATCTTCTGAACTAACTTGCGATACTGAAACATCAACTTCAACGACGTCATCTGGGGGATCAACAACATCGTCGGAATCAGGGACACCTGGAGAATGTACAGAAGAAGGATTTTTCAGAGATCCGAATGACTGCAGTAAATACTACCGTTGCCTTGATGAAGGGGATGGAAGGTTCACAAGAGAAGACTTCTCATGCGCCGAAGATGAAATTTTTGATGAAGAAATGAGATATTGCAACAGAAAAGATCTTGCTCCACCTTGTGATGAAAGCTCTACGACAACCACCTCATCAACAAAGAGTGAAACGTCTACCGAATCAGGAAGTTCATCAACGGTAAGCTCTTCTACTGGATCTGAGTCATCGACGCAAACCACTTCCAGTGGTACGGATTCAACAAAAGAGGGTGATTGTGAAGAGGAAGGATTCCATAGAGATTCAGAAGACTGCCGTAAATTTTACAGATGTGTCGACTTTAGAGGCGACGGGAAAACTTTCACCAAATACGATTTTGAATGTCCTGATGATTTAGTTTTTGATGATTCAAACAATGTCTGTAATTGGCCATCTGCTGTAAGGTCTTGCGAATCAAGTGGAGGCACCAAGCAGACAACCTCAGAAAGTACCTCCTCTACTTCGAGTGGAGGAACTACGCGAACAACATCAAGTACCACTCAAAATGACAAAACAACATCAACTACACAGCAAGACCGAACATCAACAACTCAGCGAGATAGAACATCCACTACTCCGAGTGACAAAACAACTCAGACAGAAGGAACAACATCAACAACTCAAGGCGGAAGAACTTCCACAACTCCTAGTGGTTCAGAAGACGAAAATACTTCCCAAACAGAATCTGGTTCGACTAAAGATACAACTTCTACTGGTGATTCAAGCTCTCAAACTACCAAAGGAAAACCAAGTGATATAGAATGTACAGAAGAAGGTTTTTTTAGAAATCCAGATGACTGTAACAAATTTTACCGCTGTGTTGACTTTGCAGGAACGGGAGAATCTTTCGTACGATATGATTTTGAGTGTCCAGAAGGACTAGTCTTTGACGAAGTCAATAGTGTTTGTAACTGGCCAGAACAGAGTCCCGCGTGCGAGTCAGGGTCAAAAGAAAAAAATGATACAAGTAGTACAACAGAAAGTACTGGCTCGTCAGGAACAGAAAGTAGCACCACGACAAAAGATGACTCTACATCATCAACTGCTACATCATCTTCAGGGGAATCCACGACTACTACAGAAAAAGGAACCTCAACTACGGGTTCGTCTGGAACGAGTACTACTCAAACGTCAACCTCTAAAACGGAATCTCCCGAAGATTTCAAATGTGAAGAAGAAGGTTTCTTCAGAGATTCCAAAGACTGCAAAAAGTATTATGAATGTAAACGAGACGAAGATACTGGAGAACTAGTAAAGATTGACTGTGAGTGCCCAGAAGGTCATGTTTTTGATACTGACGGCTGGTATTGTAATGCAGAGGAACTCAGTCCTCCGTGTGATGATGGTTCGTTTAAATGCACAGAAGAAGGTTTTTTCCGAGATCCAGAAGACTGTGCTGGTTACTATCACTGCAACAAAACCAGACCTGACAGTGATCAGTTGACTAAAGAACGATTGCAGTGCCCAGATGGATATGTATTCGATGAGGAAGGACGTTATTGCAATGCTCCAGAACTTAGTGCACCTTGTGATAATTCAACAACTGCAGAAGGTGGTTCAACAACTTCAGGCACTAGAACGACTTCCTCTGAAACAGGTTCCACATCATCTGGATCCGGAAGGGGAACCACTTCCTCGGGAACTAGTACCACTTCATCGGGAACTGGTACCACTTCATCCGGAACCAGTACTACTTCGTTGGGAGCAGGAACTACATCATCGGGAATCGATACAACCTCATCCGAAAAGTCAGGTGAATGCACTGAAGAAGGATTTTTCAGAAATCCCGAAGATTGCACGAAATATTATCAATGCATTCGCAATGAGGAAACGGGAAGTTTTGAGAAACGTGATTTCCAATGCCAAGATGGACGTATTTTCGATGAAGGACCAAGTTACTGCAACGATCCTCGACTTAGTGACGAACCCTGTGAAACTGGGAGCACTCGAGAGCAAACCAGCACAGAGTCATCTGGCACAGATTCATCTCAATCAACAGCAAGTGAATCTTCAACTAGTTCCACTACTCAATCTTCATCGAGTAGCACTGGAAGTTCCGTGAATCGAAAAGGTGCGGGTGATCCTGAATGTACTGAAGCTGGCTTTTTCAGACACCCACGTGATTGTAATAAGTTCTACAGATGCGTCGATTTCGCAGGAACGGGAGAATCTTTCGTTCGATTTGATTTCGACTGTCCTGAAGGACTGCACTTTGATGAGGTGAATTCAACTTGCAACTGGCCAACAATGTCACCCCGCTGTGAATCTGAAAGTGACTCCTCGAAACGCTGAATTGAACTTAGTAACTCTTCTAAGTTGAGCTTCAAAACATTTCAGCTTGTTGTATGTACATATTGTATACATAACTCATGAAAGGACGATATCAGAAAAATTTACTTCTCAATTTCGGTGTAAGTCACAAATTTCAAGTATTTCTAAAATCCATGGCCGAATTTTCTCTTACTTGAGGGTTCTCGCACTAACATAACCTAGTCAGTAGTTGAAAATCATAGTGCATCTTGCTTTATAAACCATTTCATAAATAACTCGTGTCTTAACATACTTCCTTAAAGAAACATTTTAACCCTCTTTCTTGCCTCATTTCGATTCAATTTTCCGTTTATAAAATAGAGATTTTGTACTATTAAAATGCTTATATTTCACCATTGAAGAGCTAAGTTCTAAATAGCTGGGGTCATTTTTGACAGCATAATGTTAAGAGCAGAAAATTTTATCAATAAGTTAATTATTGATCTAATATTTTAGCCTTTAACCTTCATTAGAAAAGACTCCAAGTATAAACAGACAGAAGGAACTTCAATCTTTTTACTACTGTAAGAGTCAAAGTAATTATATTTCTATTATTTCAGTTACTTTATCATAAACTTGCATGCTCAATAGTTCACAAAATCATTTCATAGTTTTTAAAGCAAGCTTATATTTCTTTTAAATTGCCAAATTACTTCTACATTACAAATGGGCAATTTCATTCTTTTTCGATTGACAATGAATTTTACATTTTTCTAACATCAAGATTTTTAAAATTCAATATAAGACGTTTCACGGGACTATTACCGTCACATTCATCACAGTCAGCCTTTTCAACTGAAACATTTGAGACAATCTAATAATAAGCCACGTTTTCAACTGGGATGAAGAGAGTTTTTTTTTCTGGTGAAACATACCATGATTTCCATGAAGGCAATAAGCCTTCTCCCTGCGTTGTGCTGCCATCTAGTGAAAATTCTGTTAACTTGCCAAGAACCTACCTGGAAACAATAGCGTGGCTCATCACTATATTGGCTCAACCATTCAATTATTTAGTATTTCTAAACATTTTAGTATTCTTTTTTCTCTTACAATCCTATTTTTGTAGTTTTGGATGTTAAATTTTTCGATATCGTCCTGTTTAAATGATTTTTTTCCAGGGTATCCCAACTGTTTCTTATGTATGAGTGCCAATCTGTAGTAAGTGTACACAGATTTTGGTTATGGTCATTGAAGTTATTTATTTCATTATTTATTTTATGTATGTTGTCACTTGTTCATTATTGCACATTTATTTGTTTCAAGTACTGCCATTTTCACATCGCATTTGCATTTAAGTTCAAAAATGTGTTTCAATAAAAAAAAATTCCATTGTTTACATGTAAAAACTTCGTTGAATTTAAATCTCTTTTTTTTTAATAAAATCAATTTTGTATCAAAATAGATGAAGTTTTAAAAAAGTTGAATTAAGAAATTATTTACAGCTCGCAGATGAGTGCCAACATTTAAAAATTGACGTTATAGATGTTAAAGAAATGAAATGAGTATTTCAAATAAATTAGGAAACAATCAACCATAAAGCAAAAGTCATCGAGTTTGTATATTCTTTTTAGAAAAATATATTTCTAAGAACGAAAATGCCATATATAAAAGAACCATTTTGTTTAACTTTTTTAGTAGAAAATTATGCCAATTTAATTCTAAAACTTTTAGCAAATTGTTCATCAAAAGCTTTAAATTTTAAAGGACTTTTGGAAGCAGATCTGATTCTGTAGCAGATACTAACTATCTATTGCAAAAAACACTATCCTTCTCAAATAATTAATATGGCAAAATTTTCTACGAGTATTGGATAAGTAGAAGTTTAATTTTCATTCATAAAAAATCATCGTACTTTAGTCGGATATTATTTAAGTAATTCAATAAATGTTGTCATATCAAGTGCCTTGATAAAATGTATTTATATCTTCATATGTGCCTGAGAAAAATGCTTGTTATTTATGATGTGTTTTAATAAAATTTGTCGTTATTCTATGCAGTGTTTTTAATCTCGCATTTATTTGTGTTAATCAAAACATTCTCAGCTAAATAATATTTTTCTGTCAGTGTTCTTTATTTATTTATTATTTTATTTAACAGAGCTCAAAATGTTTAATTTAAGAAAATAGACATCGCTCAAAATGCTCATAAGAAAATTGATATAACTCAAAATGCATGCATAAGAAAATAGACAATGCTTCAAATACATTCATAAGAAAATAGATAAAGCTTTAAATACGTTCATAAGAAAAGAGACAGATCTTCAAATACGTTCATAAGAAAGGAGACAAAGCTTCAAATACGTTCATAGAAAAATAGACAAAGCTTCAAATACGTTCATAAGAAAATAGACAAAGCTTCAAATACGTTCATCAGAAAATAGACAAAGCTTTAAATACGTTCATAAGAAAATAGACAAAGCTTCAAATACGTTCATAAGAAAATAGACAAAGCTTCAAATGCATTCATAAAATAATAGACACAGCTCAAATGCATGTTTACAAAATGAACACAGCACAAAATGAGCTTTTATGGTTAAAGAAAAAAATCCCTGATCTTAATCAATTAAGAATTTCCATTACTTTTTTTTTAGGTACTGAGTATAACCATTGCTGTACTAAGTCTCAGACTTCGGAGTTGGTGTGGTGGTTATACTAGAAATATAACTAATAAAAACTGTCATTTATTTACTCTAATTTTGTTTTAAAATGAAATTTAGTTACAAAATAAAAGCAAATCAGAGTCAGTTTTTTTTCTGAACGTTTTCATCTTTCAGATAGATTTTCTCATTCCTCATTTAATTAAATTTTTTACTTCTTATCATGCAGGTTTCTAATAAATATGTTTTTTTTATTTATGCTGTAAATCATTCAAATGTAAATTTTGTGATATTTCGTTGAAATTATTTTGCGAGTTTCATTAAAATATAAGGAGTTCTATTATTCAAGCACTTAGATATATTTAACATACAGTCAAAAATGAGATTACAGAAGTAAACGCGTTATGAGTCGCAAATTAAGTGAGCTGATTGAAATCCGATGAATTGCTGTAGAAGAAGGCGAGTTTAAAAATGTTTTTTTTTTTTTTTTTTTTTTAAAAAACAGTTTGATTGCCGGCTGAAACTTTTAGAAGATTCTAATAACATTGTTGTAAATTCTCGTTGTTTCTTCCGGCAAAAAAAATCCTATTTTGATAATTTTAATGCCGCCTTTAGAAATGTTTCGTCAGATTTTGAAACTTTTCGATTTAAATTCGTCTAATTATCCCAGGTATACCTTTTTTTTAATTTAATTTCAGCTAAGGATTCGAAAAAACAGAAAATAACCTTCTTAACGCCAGAGGGAAAAAGAAAAAGAGAAAAACGTTAGAAGTAAATAAGATAAAAATCTTGAAATTTCTATCATAATTTTCTGTTCCGGAAAAGGTTAAATGTTATAAATTTTAACCCGTCTTTAACGCAGGGTCGACTAAAAATGTAAAAGTCGGAAAATCTAAATTCTTTTTTTTTTTTTAAATATTTAATCGCAACTACCACCATAACTAACATTACATAATATTCATATTTAAAAAGAAAGCAAAGTTATTTTGATGTTCAATTTGTAAAGTAAAAAGCTATGCTAAAAAAAGGAGCTAATTTATAAATTTTCTCTCTTTTAATAAATTTTCTCTTCTTTTTAATCACCACTTTTTAAATTTTTAGTTTTTATATCTATTATATAATGTAACTCTTTATTAGCAAATTAGATGTATATTAAATTATTGTAGGTGTCAATAATGCTACGTGGTAACTTTTTAAAAACAATGAAATGCATTATGAGACAATTTAAATACCGCTTTAATAAATTTTAGCTATCGCAGGACACCTATATAAATACATTCGTAATAACAAATTGATAAAAAAAATTCCTATTGTCCTAGTATTTCAGCTGGTACCTATCTCAATTACTTCATTTTTATGCATTTACTTTTATGCTATAACTGTACACAGTTGAAAATTAACCTTGATTTATCTTTTAAAAAAATACTTTACATAATTGGGATGCAGGTGAGCAATAAAAACTCTGTACGTCAGACACAATAATGATTACAAAAACCACCTTAAAAAAATGATATAAACTTTTTCCTTGCGTTTGTAAAAAAAGTAATTAAATGAAATGAATAGTATTTTTTTGGATCTCGCCATTTTATTATAAATGCACACTAATTTTATATGGATACTTATCACTGGCACATGTAAAAAAGTAAATAGATAAAAACTGTAACTGTAAACACATAGCTGTAAATACAGTGTAAAAAAATAAGGAAAGAAAGAAAAAATCATGGTAAACATCATCCTTCTAGCATGTTTCGCTAAACAGAATTCTCTAAACAGCGGAGCAAAAAAAAAATTTGGTTGAAATTTTTCGATTACTTAATTTGGTTAAAAATTTTGAATAAAAAAGATCTAAAACAATAATAACATTACATTTTTAAATATTTAATTGTGCGCGATTGTTTTAATTTCATGTTAAACAAATTTCACACAAATTCAGATAAAATTCTGGTATGGAAATAAAGTAGTCTAGGGGAGAGTGGGGTCAATTGTAACATTTTTTAATTAACTATTTTTAACTAACAACAAATCCAATATATTATTAGCATTAATTGACAGACGAGTAAAGTAGACTATCCTCTACTAGAAAAAATAATAAATACCTTATTTTAAATGTTATTATATTAGTTATTAACAATTTTTGACAGTCGTGCACTTGTTACAATTGTCCCCACTTACGGGGTCAATTGTAACAGTTCATAAATTCAACTGAAACATAGTTAATTATACATATTATCATAGTTGTGATATATTTTATTATTGATCAAAATAGTAGTGATATTTTAGGAGTAAAAATAATAATGAGCAGAGACCTAAAGGGTTAAACTTTTAACTTTAAGGGGTTAAAAATTTTAATTTATGCTGTGAAAGGTGACAAATAAAATAATGCACATGCAACATAATATAAATGATATAGGAAACTATTGGTGGTTCTTAAAGAGTTAAGTAATGGTTTGTAAACATAAGATTATTTATTTTCAGCTGTTACAATCGTCCCTTTACTTATTGTTACAATTGTCCCCAAGACGCCATTTCAGCTTCATTTGTTAAAAACAATGCTAGTTAATTAACAAAACTAATCTTTTTTTTTTTATTGAAATGTTAATTAAGGTGTCCACTTACATATTCGGTTACTAATTTTTATTTGTTTAAACAAAATTACTTTGTTACAATATAATATTCTAATACCAAAAAAAGTACTTGCGTGGCGTGAAAATATCTTTTGTGATGTAACTCTTTCAAAAGTACATAAAAATGGTTGCCATCAGGGGTGTACATGTAGATTTATTAAATACACCTTGTGCGCCACCTAGGAACCAAATCTAGAACCCGACACTCGAAATTTTTGCTCTGTTACAATCGTACCCTGTTACAATTGACCCCACTCTCCCCTACCTACCACTACAATGATACACTTTTAATTGACTGGTATATAAAACTTGTTAATAACCTGAGAAACTCAGTAAATAGCAAAAACGTCAAGAATTTTAATTCAGCAAAAATTATAATTAGTTTCGTTATACTATGACAAAGATGCTGACTGCTTCGGACGTGCCAAAATAATTTTAAAAAAATGATAAATAACTACAAGGTAAATTTTGCATATATTTGACTATTTTTGCATGCTTTTTGAAAAGTATAGCATGACACAAGTACTTGACCTGATATATAGGTGTTTGGCAAAAAAGATCAGAGAGTTGTTTGTGAAGCCTCTATGAAATGCAGTCTTATCTGAGTATGATACATGCAGAGATGCCAACTTGCTCCGGACAGCAAATATATATTTTAAAGTGGTAGTTTATCAATTGTGATTCTTGGTTTAATAAGTTCTAATTTAGTTGATTTTTATCCACCACTATTTCTAAATAATTCCTAGGTTTATATAATTCACCAATTTTTAGTACCAAAGTCCTACTTTACCCTTTAAAAAACAATCAAAAATAGTCAAATATTTGCAAAATTTGCTTTGTTGTTATTTACCGTTTTTTTAGTTGTTTCGGTGTGTCCGGAGTAATTGGCATCTCTGTACATGTGCTGAAAGTGGTGAATTATATAAGCCTACGAATTATTTAGAAATAGTGGTGGATAAAAATTGACTAAATTGAATTTATTAAACCAAGAATCACAATTGATTAACTACCACTTTAAAATATATATTTGCTGTGCGGAGCAAGTTGGTACCTCTGCTATGTATTTGAAATATTCATTCAGAGTAAATTAACTATAGTCATAGTAATACTGTGAGGTCAGCTGTCCATGTGACTGCTGGATAAGTAGTTCGCGCACTTAAGGAAATATAAGTAATTGGAAATAATAAGAAGCAGCCTGCTCAAAAACTTTAGTTTGCTGGCTGTAGATGAGGATGAAGTTCATGCTCTTTACCATCACTTCCTATATCAAAAAGCCTCCACACTATTTTTTATAAGTAGTCTAATCAGACTATTTAAAAAGTGAACGCTGTGCGCATAAACCCAAATTCTTTTTCTTTTTTTTTTAAAGTAATTAGGAGAATTTTATCATATATATTTGAGAATTGAATTTGTGGTGGTTAACAATTGAATAAGACAAACTAATAATATTCATAAAATAAACAAATTTTTAGAGATATATTTGCTACCACTTTCGTACTTTTACTAGATTTTCTAATAAATGGCTCTTTTGCATGCTGGTTTACCTTACCAATGCCATTAGTTCCAGTCGCCCTAGGGCAGGGATGGCGAACCTTTATGCACCAACGTGCCATTTTTTCAAAAAAATTTTTAATGACGTCATAGACGTGCCGTCAAATAATCTTGACTTCTTGATTATTGGGAAAATAATAATACTAAATTCTATCAACTCAAAACTCTTTATTTACTATGAAAAAAAAAACATTTTGCAATGTCTCAGTTAAACGCGTAAT